CCCCCCAATTAATTAAAAACTAAATAAAGCAAACAAGCAAGCAGAAAAAACCCCACCTTGCTCCTCCATTGTTCCAACAACTCTTCACTCATCCTAGTGGCATGGAGAGCTGCAGTGTGTCACCCAGTAGACCCTTTTGTCAATCAGCCCTACTGGCAAAATGCTCATTGCAATAGTCATTGGTCTGGTTCAAGGCCTCTGGCACACCATCCTCACTGGATCCTCACTGAAACTCCTCTCAGACATCTTACTATTGTCTCTAGTTGTGGAGATCCTGTAGCTATTGATTTGCAGGACCAGTCCCTTCCTGCACTCCAGCAGGTCATAGATGGGGTAGATGTTCTGGTGTGCTAACCTGAGACCTAGGGTTTATATAGGACTAGGTGGTAGCTGAGCTGGGTAGTCTTGGCCACTGGGACTGCCCCCTCAGAGGAACAGAACCAGCTCTCCGTGTTGTAGGGCCATCTCTCCCACACCGATGAGGGGTGGGTCTGTCTCTTCTGAATGGGGGGTGGTCAGCTGCTGGAAGGTTTTTTAAAATACAATATTCTTCATTGATTCTTAAAACATAGTTACATATCTGAGATGAAGGGTTTTAGAGGGTCTCTTCCCCATGGGGATGCTACAGATTTTCATTTTGACATCAGCCAATCAGATGAATGCAACATGGTGCCATATTGACACTCAGAGTTTTCTCAATTGGGAGCATATGGATTTTTGAGTAAGTTATGCTTAATCTGTGTAACTAATAAGTATGAAAGTCTTCACATCTGTATCTGAAAAAAATGACTGATAGACTTATAGAAAAAGTGCAAATATTTTATATTGGCTCATCAATTGAAGATACAGAGAGTGCCATTGAATATATCCTAGAGTCTTAAAGGGCAGAATAGTGCCGAATTCATGCATGCTAGGAAACTATGGTGGAAGCTTAAACTAGACCTTCTTCCTTGCCCCTGTCTACCGGGTGAATTTCCTTGTTTCTCAAGCTATATAAAGCGAGTGACTTCTAGATACTTATGCTTCGTTGACACCAAGCCAAATTTCCATTTTCTTTGCCTGGAGAAAAGTGATCCTGTAGGTATTTTCGTATGTTGCAGTACTAAACTTCTTGAGCTCACCCAAACCTGCCATGATTCCCTTGCCCTAAAAACTAGGAGAGTCCTGAGTTAGAAGGAAAGGATTGAAAGATCAGCACAATATACTAAAACTGTGTACTGAAATACAGTAAAAAAAAATAATATCGTGTCAATATACTCATTCATCAATGTTGGGAAGTGGAATGGTGTCATGGTGTCAGCACGGCTGGAGCTCTGATGTTCCCCACACTCTCTTCTTTTCCAGAGGCATCTGAGTTCAGGGTTAATATTTAGC